GGTATTAAGGTCAAAAGACCCGGGAAGCTCATTAAACCTCTGGGCCTTGGATTTCTCAAAATTGGTTGATACAACTACCTTAAAGAGATATTGAGCCCTATTAAATGCAATCAGGTATGTCGAGGTTCTTTGCAAACAGAAGTGCTTTAAAAATCAAGGTGATATTATTGCTTGGTATGGCAAGGCCCTGGGCTAAAAACCAGGAAAATAAGGGCTAAACTTACAGACTCCTAAGGGAAAGAGAGACGGGTGGAAACTGATGTATTAAAAGAGAATTATCAACCAACTATAACATGCGGCTCTGATTTGGACCCTGATTCAAACTCTTAAATTGACTTTTTGAGAATTAGGAAAATTTGAACACTTACTGTGTATTACATTATATTAAGGAAGTATTATTTCTTTTTAGATGTGATAATTCCATATGGCTATGTTTTTTAAAAATCCTTAACTTCTAGAGATACATATGGAAATATTTATGGATGAAATGATGTCTGACATTGAGATCTGCTTCAGAATAATTCACAAGGATGAGAAGGTAGAGAAGAGAGATGTAGATGAAGCAAGATTGGCTGCTGAAGCTGGGTGAAGGGTATGTGGGGACTTACAGTATTATTTTTTCCACTCTTACATATCTTTGAAATTTAGCATAACTAAAGTCTTTGTAATAAAAATGAAAGGGCCCCATCTTCCTAAGTCTAGGAGGTGCCAAAGACAGAGTGTCGCAGAGGTGACAGTAAGTGCAGCCTTGCCAAGACTGGCCCCTAGGAGAGCAAAGAGACCCAGCCGTCACTGCACAAACGCTGTGAGTCAGCAGCGGTTTTCCTGCTCAGCAGGTGGGCTGATCGACTAAACACAAGCGTGCCTCAGAGGGGCTGTGGTGCGGTTCCAGACCACTGCAATAAAGCAATACTGCAATAAAGTGAGTCACTCAAATATCTGGTTTCCCAGTGCATATAAAAGTTACGTTTACACTATCCTGTAGCCTATTAAGTGTGCAATAGCATTATGACTAAGAAACAATGTATCTACCTTAATATAAAAATACCTTATTGCTAAAAAATGCCGATGATCATCTGAGCCTTCAGTGAATTGTTATCTTTTTGCCGGTGGAGGCTCCTGCCACGATGCTGATGGATGCCGACCGATCCGGGGGTGGTTGCTGAAGGTCGGAGTGGCAGTGGCAAATATGACAGTGAAGTGTGCCGGGTTGATTGGCTCTTCCTTTCACAGTAGATTGCTCTGTCGCATGCACTGCTGTTTGACAGCATTTTATTCAAAGTAGAACTTCAAAGTTCTTCTCAAACGCTTCTCCTGCTTTATCAACTAAGTTTACGGAATATTTTAAATCCGTTGTTGTCATTTCAACAGCGTTCACAGCATCTTTACCAGTAGATTCCATCTCAAGAAACCACTTTCTTTGCTCATCAATAAGAAGCAACTCCTCATCCATGCAAGTTTTATCATGAGATTGCAGCAGTTCAATCACATTTCAGGTTACACTTCTAATTCTAGTTCTCTTGCTATTTCTACCACATCTGCAGTTCCTTCCTCCACTGAAGTCTTGAGCCTCTAAAGTCATCCATGAGGGTTGGAATCAACTCCTTCCAAATTCCTGTTAATGTTGATATTTTGACCTCCTCCCATGAATCATGAATGTCCTTTATGGTATCTAGAATGGTGAATCCTTTCTAGAACGTTTTCAATTTACTTCATCCAGATCCATAAGAGGAATCACTACCTGTGGCAGCTATAGTCTTACAAAATCTATTTCTTAAATAATAAGGCTTAAAAGGTGAAATTACTCCTTGATCCACGGGCTGCAGAATGGATGTTGTGTTAGTAGGCAGGAAAATAACATTCATCTCCTTGTACATCTCCATCAGAGCTCTTGGCTGACCAAGTGTATTGTCAATGAGCAGTAATGTTTTGAAAGGAATCTTTTTCTGAGCAGTTGGTTTCAACAGTGGGTTTAAAATATTCAGTAAACCATGGTGTAAACAGATGTGCTGTCATCCAGGCTTTGTTGTTCCACATATACAGCACAGGCGGAGTAGATTTAACATAATTCCTAAGGGCCCTAGGATTTTTGGACTGGTAAATGAACAATGGCTTCAACTTAGAGTCAGCAGCTGCATTAGTCCCTAACGAGAGAGTCAGCCTGTCCTCTGAAGCTTTGAAGCCAGGTACTAACTTCTCCCTAGCCATTAAAGTCCTAGATGGCATCTTCTTCTGGTCTAAGGCTGTTTAGCCTACAATAAAAATCTGTGGTTTAGAGTAGCCACCTTCATCAGTGATCTTAGCTAGATCTGTATAACTTGCTGCTTCACCTTGCACTTTTACATTATGGAGACGGCTTCTCTCCTTAAACCCCATGAACCAACCTCTGCTAGCTTCAAACTTTTCTTCTGGAGCTTCCTCACCTCTCTCAGCCTTCATTCTCTTCACCGAAGAGAGTTAGGGTCTTGCTCTGGATTAGACTTTGGCTGAAGGGAATGTTGTAGCTGGTCTGATCTTCCATCGAGACCATGAAAACTTTCTCCACATCAGTAATAAGGCTCTTTGGCTTTTGTATCATTCATGTGTTCACTGGAGTAGCACTTCTAATTTCCTTCAAGAGCTTTGCCTTTGTAGTCACAACTTGGCTGTTTGGCACAAGAGGCCTAGCTTTTGGCCTGTCTTGGCTTTTGACATGCCTTCCTCACTGAGCTTAATCATCTCTAGCTTTTGACTCAAAGCGAGAGATGTGCAACTCTTCCTTTCACTTGAACACTTAGAGGCCATTGCAGGGTTATTAACTGGCCTAAGTTCGATATTGTTGTCTCAGGGAATAGGGAAGCCGCAGGAGAGGGAGAGAGTTGGGGAAACAGCTGGTTGGTGGAACAGTCAGAACACACACAATGTTTATTAAGTTCACTGTCTTTATGGGTGCAGTCATGCCACCCTGAAACAATTACCATAGTAACGTCAAAGATCCCTGATCACAGATCATAATACATATAATAATGAAAAAGTTCAAAATATTATGAGAAAAACCAAAATGTGACACAGAAACATGAAGTGAGCACATGCTTTCAGAAAAATGGCACCAATACACTTGCTTGACACAGGACTGACACAAATCTTCAATTCGTAAAAAGTGAAAGAGCTGCGACGTGCAATAAAGTGAAGCGCAATAAAACGAGGTGTGCCTGTACCAAGAGCAGAAAGCCGTCATCTCTGCCACAGAAAGGCACAGTGCGTGACGGAGCGACGCGGGGGAGACGGTAACGGGATGGGCACCCGTAGAAAGTAAAGACATGCGTGGTACAAGATATAAATGCAGCTAACAAGATAACTAAATATCCAATCAGAACTGCAGCTGCCAAGGATTACTTTTAACTGGCACAATATCGAGATTTCATGCCGGCGTTTACATTTCGAATGCAGATTAACAAATGGACAAATACCTTCTTAGGCTCACCTTTAATACTGTTACTATTTTAGAAAACTAATATTGCAAGAAGCAACCCAAAATCAACTAGATCAGTTGAACTGCTCTCTTGATAAACAACACAGTAGAATAAAGCTGCCTCCAAAAGTTGACCTATCGATGCGGGGAGTGTGTGTATGTGTGAAAAAGTCCTCGAGAAAAAGTTTTCTTTATTATGTTTTTGGAAGCTAAATTTAAGTCTTGCTTACCGATAGAGGGGGCAAGAGTGACCTTCCACCCTTACTCACAGCTCTACCCTGGTTGCTGCCACTTAAGTGGAACAAGGGATGGTATTCAGTTGCCTTAACTTTTTGAGACTGTCTTATGAAAGACCAAAACACGATCCCTTTGAGCCCCATCAGAAAGCCTGAACAGGACAGACCAAGTGAGGCATTTCTTATGCCCCCACCAGGGGCTCCACTCTCATCCACTTTTCATTAACCTCCAATCCCCCTCAAATGGCTTCCTCCAAAAATCACAATAATCCATTACCCTCAGAGTCTAAAGAAAAGGGTCAAGTTCTAGCCTGCCACTGAGGAGGCGGGGAATCGTACAACCCATCTGAGAAATGAGGGATTAGATGGATGGTTTCCTAAGATCTCGTTCAATGTTCTTATTCCTATGTGAGCTTCTCATTACCTATCTGACTAAAGGAACAAAGCATCAGGCCATGACAGATGGGTTTTCCTGTGAACCTCCAAGCACAAGCAATTAAAAAAACCAAAAAGGAGAAACAGGACCCTTAACTCCTTTAAGACTCTCTGCTTAATTTAGGCTGCCTGGAGGAGGAGGCTGGGACTGTAAGAAAACCTAACTGCTGCCATGAAATCTAATCGTTTTCCAAAGTGACAAGAGCCCAGTGGGGTGAGAGGTGAAGGAGGTCCTGGAACTCTCCTTGGCCCCTTCCCTCGCCTCCCGTACGAACTGGATTCTGCTGCTACAACCTTTTGTTCTCCACAAGTCCACATCCTGCTCCTAAGATACAGCAAGTGAACTCAAGTGTGCAGGCCTGACGTCCATCCCAAAATCCAGCTTTCATGGATGAGGGCCTATGCGGGGACAAGTTCGAAACAATCCTAAAATAACTTCAAATAAATCATCAGACCATCTGTTTATGGCAGAACATAAATATATCAATTTGGTCACTCTTATGACAAAGCAGGTCTTTTTAGGTAAGATCTGTAACCGTCCCAAGAGATAAATTCCAGGCTGCAGTTGTCGTTAAAGGTAGGTTTAGCTGTGTATTCCAAAGACACTGTCTCTTTTTTAACAAGACATACCCACTGGCTACACTCTTGGGAAAAGCAAACAAACAGATGGCAGATAAGAAAAAGCAATAGCTTGTTCAGCTTGGTACTCATGCTTCTTACCCACATATTCTGAGAGGAAGACGACAAAGAATGGAGTGACCAGGTCATTAATTCCCTGGACATACCCACTGGCAGGGTGTCGGATGGCCCAAATAAATAGAATTCTTTCAAAGATCTAGGAAAATGAGAAAGAAAGACATGAATGTTAAATCATGGGGACACACTCCCTCCCTCCATTTACCTGCTTCACAATTTATCTCAGGGCTAGTGTAGATTTTTAGAAAAAAATTTAAAATACTGTGGGTCAGAGGAAGTATATAAATGCAAAAGTTTCTAACACACCAGTTGTTTTCAAGTAAGGGTAGATACTTCTCGCTCTTTATTTATCTTTTCAGTATCTGGTCACCGTGATATAAAATTGGGAAAAGGAAAGACAGAAACACAAAATGCCTTAGAAAAGGTCTGCAATGGATGTCATTAATTCAAGCCAGCACGGTTTCATGTGTAGATACTGCTTTTCTATTTTCAAGAGCAAGATATCAGAACATCCCAGTTCTGATACCTTTTTCTAAACCTTTTGTGGTCATTACAGGATTTAGAGAGCAAATACCTCCTGTACCGCCCTGTCGTCTCCCTCTGCTGAGGAGATCTAGATTTAGTTTTAACCCAGCTCGACTAGGAACAAGTGACGACTATATGTGCAGGAAGTCACTTCATATGTCAGGATGCAACTCAGACATTTCTTGGGGATAGGAAGTCAAACAAACCAAATCCTATGGCCTCCTACAGTTGGGAATTTGAGAACAGAGAAATCAACCAGGGCCCCCATGGGAAAGCCTCTAGGTTAAGTATCTTAGCCACAAGAAGCCAGAGGCCTAGGTTGGGGACAAAGGAAAGATCTTTATGGTCCTCTTACAGGGACCATACGGGCCCCTGTCCCATTCAACTCTACTCCCTCTGCTTTCAGTAGGCCGTCCGCGCTTTTTCCTCGTCTTCTCTCATCCTGATGACATTCATCGCCTGCCTTCATCCTGATGACAACTCCTGGGCCTGACACGTTCCTAAGACTGGCTTTGACTGGGCTGCCTCCTGTCTCTGTGGACCTCACCAGAGGGGTGGCAGAGGGGAGGTGAGTACATGCAGGCAGGACAAGGCGACTAGAGGGTCTCCGCAGCACGCGGACACTGCAGAGTCCCAACCAGGCAGCTCTCGGTCAGTCTGCAGAGGCCCTCCTAAGCAGGTGCAAGGGAGAATAGCTTCCCAGAGAGATCGATAAAAGGGAAATGGTTATGTGGTTTCCAGAGATTGTCATCCAGTGTAGGAGGGACAGAGAATCTAAAGACACAATAAAGGATGTTTCCTAGCCCCTCTGTCATAGTTGAGTCTGCCTTCCAGCTGGCTGGGAGCTGAGAAACACTTCTGCTGTCAATATTTCTGCCCTTACTGGCAGTGAAAACAAAGCTCCGCCTGGAAGTGAGCTGGTCTCGGCCTCCACCAGACTCGCCCACTTGCTCTTTGTGGTTGAGGGAAGGGCATGGCCTCCTCGTTTGTGTAAAGTCCAACGCTCTAATAGGAGCGCTCTTATACCCTTCCCTCTCTGTTGCTAAATGACCCCTCTTCCTTCCTAGAAAATATAGTGCAAGCTAGAATGATCAAGAATTCCCTGCCCCACTCTATTTTTCTGCAGCTCTTATGGCCTGTGTCCATCTGGATGCCCCTGTTAAAAAGTTCCTCCAGGGCAGTCTTTCTGAAGGACTTACAGGGGCTTCTCTCAGCACGATGAGCCCCTTGTGAATACACGAATCCTTGGTAACTGGCTTTAACAATGGCCAAGTACGCGGAAGCTAGCTGTTCAGAATCAGACCTGCAATAATCTCTCTCTAGGAAGGATGGGACAACGTAGACACACACACACTATACAAGTGAAGGTGCCAAAGAGACGAGAACTGAACAGCACCGAGCCTGGTTACTAGAGGAGACCATGGGGCCTTTGCTGTAAGAGTCTGGGATAATCCCGCCTTGTAGAGAGGGGTAGAGAGGATAACACCTGAAGGTTTGTCCTGCACCTCCTCTACTAGTGTGGATAATTCTGACTTACTATAGTCAATCTCAAGTATCTTTTACGTTTGCAAAGCAATCCTTTCTCTATTTAGCACTACTCAGTTCTTTGCTCCTTGGTTGGCATTTTTACTTTGTTTAAGATGACTACAGTCTGTTAGATGAAAAGGTGATTCAAGAAAAATTGGAAAACCGGCCGGGCGCAGTGGCTCACACCTGTAATCCTAGCACTCTGGGAGGCTGAGGCGGGTGGATTGTTTGAGCTCAGGAGTTTGAGACCAGCCTGAGCAAGAGCGAGACCCCGTCTGTACTAAAAATAGAAAGAAATTAGTTGGACAACTAAAAACATATAGAAAAAATTAGCCGGGCATGGCGGCACATGCCTGTAGTTCCAGCTACTCAGGAGGCTGAGGCAGGAGGATTGCTTGAGCCTAGGAGTTTGAGGTTGCTGGGAGCTAGGCTGACGCCACGGCACTCTAGCCCGGGCAACAGAGTGAGACTGTGTCTCAAAAAAAAAAAGAAAAGAAAAATTGGAAAGAATAAAGTTTGGGTTTCTGTCTTTGTATTCAGGTCTCACTACTAGAAGTCTTTCAAACAAACAACTTTCCCCATCTCCAAGTTTAGAGTAAGCACGCACAGGTGAAACATAAGTATCTGAACATCTTCAAGTTAAAATAAGGAATAAGCAGGGCTGAGCTGTGGGAAACTGAATGGGAGGAACGAAGGGATCCTGAATGGATCTGTAGCTTCCTTTGAGCTGTATCTTATGATAAAATAACAGTGTCGCCCTCAAAATCTTCTTTATGCTACTGGCAAGTCATGAGGGATCCCACCAGCGGGAACATCTACATTTAAACAATTATGAATATAACTCAAAGCCAAACAGAAATTATTTTGAGCATTTTTACTACCATCCCCCTTTATGACGAGAACTGAAAGCACGATTCAGAGCGCGCTGACACTCCGTGTCCTGGCTCCTGGAGAGCCGCAAAGGAAAGTCCCAACCTCAAGGAGTTTATAGCTACTGCTTGGGTCAAAAGAAAATGGTCCCACTGAGACCTTCCATGTGCTTTATTAACTGGTTAGGTCTCAAAATATCACTACTAATTCCACTTCTGGATATATACCCAAAAGAATTTAAAACGGGGACCAAACAGATATTTGCATGCCCAAGTTAATAGCACCACCATTCACAATAGCCAAAAGGTGAAAGCAACCCATGTGTCCGTCGACAGACGAATGGCTCGACAGCACGTGTTACGTGCATGCAATGGAATACCACTCAGCCTTTAAAAAGGAAGTCTTGATTCATGCTACAACGTAGATGAACCCATGTGAAATACGCCAGACACAAAAGGACAAACATTGCATGATTCCACTTATTGGAGGCACCTAGAGTAGTCAGAGTCAGAGAGACAAGTCTAACGGAGGCTTCTGGGGAAAGGAGTTAATAATTAACAGGTACAGAATTTCAGTTTGGGAAGATAAAAAAAGTTCTGGAGGTGGATGGTGGTGATGGTCGTAAAACAATGTGAATATACTTAATGCCGCTGAACAGCATGCTAAAGAATTGTTAAAATGATACAATTTATATAATGTATATTTTACCACAATTTTTAAAAATCACTATCTCCAGCTTGACAAAGTAGAGCAAACACAGGAATAGGAATTCCTAGATGTGGGTTCTTCATTCTGTCACCAGGTAGCCTCAAGGGTCTGGGCAACTTCCTTAACCTCTCAAAGTGCTACTGTGCTCACAGGGTTGCTATGAAGAGTGAATGCGAATGCACGAGCGCGTGCTCTGAGAGAACCAAAGCTCCGTACGCGAACACAAGCACCATCACAACCAGCCGTAAGCCTGCAGACGGGGGCCACAGAGCTATGGGGAGAAGAGCCAAAGAGCATTAAGTCATTCCCTCACCTCCTGTACGAGCGGCTGCTGGAACAACGGAATGAGAGGATTCGTCCTTGGAATGTCAATGTGAATCTGGAAGACAGAAGCCATGTCCAAAAACAAAATGCCAGTTTGTCCTTTTGACAAGTTATTTTCTTTAAAAATAGAAATTAAAGGAGTAAGAAAGTGCAGTTTATCTTCAGAAAGAACTGATTGACACAGAAGAAAATCTAGTTAACCTACCTGCTCATGTGGAATATGTTTCCATTTTAGCAATAGCTTACTAAATAGTGAGGAACCTCCCCAAATTAACCACTTAAGTCAAATAGCAATAGGCCTCACAACCTAAGAGAATCAACTGCTTTTTCCTATCGCTCTGGAGTCCGTTTTACTGTGGGCTAGCACTTATGCAACAGGCATGATACAAGTGTGTACCCCCTTTCAGAATCTTACCCATCCACAGTTCAAGAACTAAAAGAGCTCCGACAGCCACAAAAACGTGCCAAAATAGGGACTCGGAGAAGGACTTGCTTATGAAGTCGTGACGTGTAAGAAATGGGGAAGGACCAGGGGGAGTTGGCCTTCAGTAACTGGAGCTGAAAGTTCATACTTCTGTTACCAAAGAGGTCACTATGGTTGGTTTCAGTTCAGGGATTTCTCAACATCCAGTTTAAGTATCTGATAGACTATGTCTGCAGCAGCAGACGCCACTTCTGTTCTTGGGGCATGTTGTATATTAGATAGCTGCCCACCCCCCATCTTCCACCTTCTGCAACCACTGGACTACTCTTCTCCTCCCTCCACACATGACGCTGCCAGCAGACCCCTCTGCGGGCCATGGGGACCACTACAGGCAATGATGGAAGATTCCCTGCCAAGACTACTGATGGCTACGGCTCCTGCAGACAGACAGGCGTGGGTCCTGAACAGGTACTGTAGCTGCCAGGAGGACACACTGATGTCACAGTCCAGAGGGACTAGACCATTCCTGACGGAGTTTGTCTTTCCTCCTGTCATGTCCTATAACCTTACTACTCACAGTGTGGTCTGTGGACCAGAGCATTGGCGTTCCCAGGGAGTTTGTTAGAAGTGCAGGCTCACCCCAGACCTACTGAATCAGAATGTGCATTTTCTCATAATCCCCAGGTAGAATCTTATTAAAATCCTAGGTGATTTGTATGCAGACTGAAGTTTGAGAAGCACTGCCATTGACTAATGCCAAAAAAGTTTATTTATTTTAAATGGCTCAAATCAGAGCTGCTGAATGAAAGAGGTAAAGCAGTTCTGGGAATAAACTTGTTAATAATTTCTAACCAGCACACCATAGCCTGAAGACTTGAAAAATCTGTACCCCAACAGCACTCCTAGAGACATATCTAAAGAGTATGACTAGTAAGCAGCAGCAGGTGGTAACTGTACCTGTCTGTAGGTATCCTGGTGATGTTCCTCATTTCGAGAGTCATAATACTGTTCAATGAAGCCAAAATATTCCTCCCTCTTCCGCTGCAGGGTCAACTTCCTCCTCTCAGTGTTTGCTGGGAGATAGCCCTATAGACGAGACTGACAGTCAGATGGGGACCGACATTGGCTGGATGAATCCTTAATTTTTAGCCTGAGAAATGGCTTGGAAACTATCAAGGAAACAGAAGGAAAACTGCCAAGAGGACAAGGGTAAATCCCTTTTTGGTTTTGCCCTTTCCTCATTCAATGAGATCCACATGTTGGCAGATGCAGCAGGCCAGCTTTCCCAGGGTTGTTTACTCCTCTGGCCCTGCACCGCGCCAGGGAGCGCGGGAGCTCACACTGCTGGGGAGCACTCAGGAGCCGGCACAGCAGAGCAGTGAGTGTAGGTCAGAGGGAGGGAGCTGGACCCAAGTCACGGCCTGCGAGTGTGCACGGCTGTACTTCTGAGAATCACAGGGACCCAGCAATCTCTACAGCGCATCTCAGTGGCGTGCCAAGTGAGTTGGTGCCAGTTACACATTCTTCTCCAGTGCAACTTTCAGAGTTACCGGCTAAGGAAGCTGAATGGAATCTGTGACATAGCAGCTACGACGTCCAGACAGAACTTGTGGCAGCAGCCCCTCCTAGCCAAAGCTGCAGGCCAACTTTCATTCTTATCCCTGGTCTAGATTCCACTCTCATCTTCTGTCTTCTCTTCCCCTTCCGTTCTCACCGAATCTACTCTGAACAGCATTCAAACTTACTAGAAGTGGCAGAGGCAGTGATGACTTGGTTACAACAGTGGGGTGGGGAGAGCAGTCAGGAGAGAGACCCTTCCTCTCTCTGAAGTGCTGGTGTAATGCATTCCACAGCGAGTGCCAGGAGAGCGGGGACTGGGGTTTATTCATTTCTGTGTCTGTTCACAGCTCCTGGCACTGCGCCTTGCAAAACAGCAGGCCCTCAATAAATCCTTATTAGAAGAATGAATGAATTTTACAAGTTCAGGAAACCCAAGTGTTCCTGTCGTCGTGGCTGGCACAGTGCTTGGTGAAAGCAACGCTGGTACAGCTTCCAAGGGAGGCCCATTTATCAGCCCTTCGCGGCTGCAGAGTGGGCTTCGCCCTCGCTGGTTACTCCCACTGAGAAAGGAGTGAAGCTCGAGGAATGCTGGAGCTTGCTCAAAGCTAGTGCTGGGACCACCCTGTCTTCCTCCTCACTGCTAAGAAAGTGAGGCTGTGACTACAGGGACAAGCTTGTGCTCTTCTCCATGTGTGGGAATAAACTCTCAGGAATGTGTTTCTCTATGCACGGAAACAGGACTACAGTCCCACGGTTCTGTCATGTCCAGTGGGACGAGGGAAGTCTATGGAGTAAGACCAATGTGTCCAGACTAACCTCATCAGGCAAGAAGGGCTGTGTGAGGCTCACGCTTCTCTACATAGTGGGTAGAACTCACCGACAGGAGTCTCCAGGTTACAGGTCGAACCTCCCTGGGAACCCCTGGCCAGCTACACTTCCTCAGTTCATCTGCAAACAGAAAACAGCCACACTGTTTTAGCTCTCCCCGCAAGTGCCTGAAAACAAACTGCAACCAGCACTGCCTGATGCTTCCTACCCAAGGAGTAAGACCACCACCACCTGCTACCCATAAGCAGTAGGAAAAGCCCAGAACGGCGGCGCTGAGCAGCAAAGTGCCAAGGACACGCCCTTGCGGTAGCCATCCAGTCAGCTCGGAGACGAGAGAGAGTTAGGAGGGAACTGAAAGACCAGCGGGTGTGGATTTCAGTGAAAACCCCCCGGAGGCAGGAAAGACCAAGCCGGAATAGCTGCACTATGGTCTACAGGCCACGGAAACCAGCCCCGCCTAACTGGGTCCCTAAACCCTAGAACACACCGCTGACTCGGTACCTGCATGTCACTGCAGCGGGCACCAGACCAGGGGGAGCTAGAAAAGTAAAAGAAGGAAGAATAAAGAGCAGTAGCTTCCGGGTCTCTGGGAATTCCAGTCACCAAAGGCCCCCACCTTGCCCGGGGCTCACAAGGACTCACCTAAGTCAGTGCTGTGGCTGGAGAGAAGCTGACGGAATTTCTCTAGGCGGGTTTTCTCCCGGACGGTCATCGGGGGAGCCCCAGAAGCATTCTGGTCTGATATCCGGGCAACGAGGGGGATGATGGGCCGGAGAGGGAGCGACTGCTGTTTGTGGAGCGGGTTCCTCAGGCACGTGTCACCTGAGGTCATTTGAAAGAGAAGAATGGGCTGTGTGAAGAGCACAGATTCTGAAAAACCTCAGACCTCACCGTTCAGCGTCCGTGTCCTCCTCCAGGGCTGGGGCTGCCTGTGCGTGCGGCGCCCAGGGGAGGGCGGTGAGGGCGCGGGAACCCAGCCCTGCGCCGCCCGCCACCCAGAGGAAGGGCTGCATTTACAGCACGCACACCAAGACACCTCATGCGCTAACACGCTCCAGATGCTGCAGCAGCTTTTGAGAACTTCTTTGGTGACTCTGGAGGAAAATCAAATGTTTTCTTTCATACCCCAAACTGAAACTTGTCTCGGTGCCAAATAATGCATTTGGTGGCAACACAGTCTAAGGCAGCGTTTTCCTTACCTTTCCACACCGCTGGGCACAGGAGAAACGACGGCACTGCAAAGACGCTGCCGTAAGGGAGGTGGCTGCTCTCCACAAGCCCCAGGCCCCGTCCCAAGGGCTAAGGGGATCAAGGTCCCTGGCACAACCTGAACATGTTCTTGGCCCAGCAGTGTGCCCCGCACATGGGGAGAAGCTCTGGCCTAAGGCAGTCCTGCCTTGGGTGGCTGCAGTTCCTCTCTGTTCCTACGTTTCCCACCAAAATGAACGAGTTTTTAATTCTGCCAGGATAGGATTGAAATTACAGGACACGGACTCAAGCTGAACTCTGTCTGGTTCTGGACATTTCTAGACCAGATGGTCAGCAGGAAGAATAAGCAGTACAGGACTAACATATACTGAGTGCTTACCATGTGTAAGGCACCATGCTGGTCACTTACACATGTGATCTCTCACTGGGTCCTTACAACATATGGTAGGAATTTATAACTATTGACAGATGAGAAACTACAGCTCAGAGAGATTTAGTAATTTGTGAGAGCTTACATATCTGGCCCTTAAAAAGTGGTAGTTACAACAAAAATTAAAGAGTGAATACTAATTAACTAGCACTACTAGAAGGCTTACAAAAACAACTGCCACAAGGCACTTGGGTGGGATGCCTGGTGTAACAGGGGGACTAGAAAATGCAGACCACACACTGCAAAGCTGAACAGAGGTGCATCTTGGATATCGGCTATGTCGAGACAGATGCACACAGGAGGGAACCTCTGTAAGGAGAATGCTCTGGGGGGTCCTTGCTGCACAAGGGCAGCTCATCAGGGTTGTGGTGGGAGCCTTCCTTGTGCTGGGAACCCCCGGAGACCTTCAGTCGTGGTGTACAGACGCTTTCCACAGCCGGTAGCTGGGGGCACCCAAGTCAACCAACACGGAATGCCCATCTGGGCGTGGTGCGGAGGTTCAAGCTGGAGCCCAAATCAGTGAGGAAAAGTGACTGCGGACTGACTGTAAAGACCTTACAGCCCGACTGCATGGCCACATGCTGAGTCTGAAACTATAAGAAAGATTCTCTTAGACCGTGAGCCTGGATACACTCCAGGCTCTGACAACCTTCCTCTTCCTTTTCATCCATTACCAGTCAGCCGTTCCAACTCTCACTAGAGTGAAGGCACTTCCTTCTCCAGCTCAGAGTAACCAACGTCCATAAAACACATTGAGGCAACATTGAACACAACGATGGATACTTAAAAGAGTATCCTGAGAGCCCCCTAACATTCTATGAAACCACCCTCCCCTCAACCAGTTATCGAGGCCAGTTTCCTGAGTAGAAACAGAGCAGGCCTCTCCTGCTATCCCACCCTAGCCCAGCCCACCCCAGCCGATGGGCAGCCTCAGGGAGCTGTGACCTGGTGCCCTCAGGCACGTGTTGCTCCTCCCTTGGGAACAGGAAACAGTGGGTGTTCTCCAGGCCTCAAGAAGTCAAACAACAGGCCAAACGTTTGTGAAATCCGGCCACTAACAATTTAAATACATTAGTCTATATTCGTAAACCTGACTGTGCCTAAAGCCATGTGAAGCCATCAAACCACGTAAGTTCTGGACCCCACTACACGAAAGCAAGAGGAGAAGAGGAGAATGGCAGGCAAGATTTGGGTGTCACAGTAAGTGAGGGGCCAGAGCCACCGAGGCAGGAGGGGCAAGCACGGCTTGTGACTTCTGAGGCTCACTGAGGAACCTTGGCTTGGGCTTGCTCCTTTATCACTCGAGGGAAGATCTGAGTGATGCCTTAAAAAACATCGTTTTTATTTAAGACACACTCTGCTGAGAAGCGGACGGAGGCTGTGGAGGGGGCAGGGTGGACTTACTGGAGTTTCTGGACAGCTGGGCATCACTGCTGGACTTTATGACCTTGTAGTTGGCAGGAACGTCGGATGTCGTTGACTGGGACCGTTCTGGTTTTACCCTCAGCTTGCTGTGGTTTTCTAGAACTTGGGCTGCAGTTGCCAAAGCAACTTTTGAGTTCAGAGTTTGGAAAGAAGGTGAGGAAAAGTCCTCTTCCTCATCATCGCCAATGTCCCAAGCATCACTGGTATTCCGGGCAAACTCATGAAAGCTGGAGGCCTTCTTATTCTTCAGAGGAATTGTGTTGACTTTTGACCGTTCTTTAATGAAGCTGCAAGAAAGGGGACACCATTGCCAAGGAATGGTCTGACACACCTGACCACCTTCACTAGCTTAATACAATATTAATAATATTACAAATGACCCCGTACATAAACATTAGCTTCTTCAAACAAAAACCACCACATCATTCCTGATCTAGATGCATCCAGACCAGCCCTGTGTAGCAGAGATCGCAGTGGTCCCCAAATATCCCATGTGCTCCTCTCTATTTCCCAGCCCCCTTGCACTTAGGCGAGGCTATGCCTAGTTCTGGCCAATGGGCTGAGAAGAAAGTGAGGTCATCACTTCCAGGCCAAAGTATGAAAGAATAGGTGTGGGTTCTCTATAATCTCTCTTCTGTCATGGTGACTGCCAAGGTTTCAAATGGTGGCGCCTCCCTCAGCCTGGGTAAGTGAGTGGCTTTGTGGAGCAGAGCCTGACTCTACCCTTATTTCTTCACCCAATTGTGGACACGTAGCATGAACAAGAAATAAACCTTTGTTGTGTTAAGCCACTGAGATTTCAGTTAATTTGCTATGGCAACATAACCTAAACTATCCCTTAGAGTGGGACATAAACTACTGGCAGAACAGGAAATGATTTTAGGTATTCCATATAAGTAGCATTAAACCTTAAGCCCCAAAATGAAAGGCTGTTCCCTTTTAATTTTGTTAAAGTCCTTCTGCTAGCCTTGAGGAGAAAGTCTACGTTTGCTGCTACTCTGTCTTTCAGACTCTATTTTTTTAACAAAGTGAGGGCAGCCTCAGGATCAACACATTTGCTAGCAGTAGGATCTGGTGTGGAATTTGATAAGACTGTTTGTTTTTCACTGTGTGTATTGTTAAGGTTACTTTCTATTTATGGCAAATATTATTGGTTTTCCATTTATGGAAGTACAAGGTTTATTTTTAAAAAATAAATCTATTTGAGTAAATGAGTACTTATTAAAATGTATTTAGTAAATAATAGTACAGAATATGGCAAAAAAAAAAAAATCATGAATATGGTGCATGACTGAAGTTTGGGAAACACCAGATTAACCTATTAAGGAAAGGGGACATAGTCCAAAGAGTCACGTGAACCAGTCCTACTTTCCTAAGCTTTTTCTCTTTGTGTCCTGAGCCCCACTCCCCCTTAAATTCTGGGGGCCTTTATTCTGGTTCCAGGAGACTGGTTAGGACACTTCTAACTCAGTCTTATCTAGCACCCCTCAGACCCCAAACAGGGAACAGTCTTGTGTGAGTTTACAGTACATGGGGACCGGAACGTAATGGGGTAAAAACAACACTGAAATGCCTCACCGTTTCCTCCAGCAAGGCAGGGTAACTCTAGAGGCTCTGCCAGAAGGGCAGAAGTTCCCCATCTCCAAGAGAGATTTCTTCCCTTTGGATAGAGGTGGGTGGTCTGCTAATCTGTCCCCGCTCCCTAAATGAGTCCAATACTTACTGTAAAAGACAGTTTAAGTTATTAATTAATATCAATACAGTCTGGTAACTCATACAGCTCATCAGAATGTCCCTATTATGAAAAAGTGGCATCACTGAGGTGTCATTTTTACACACCAGTCTCTTACAGAGCAAAGGAAAATCCATTACACAAAATACAAAAGAACAGAAGATTATAACAGCCCAAATGTCATGGAAACAAGATACCATTTTTCACCCATTCAATTAGCAAAGATTTAAAGGCTTAGTCTCTTCAGTGCTGACCAAGGTGTAGTGAGACCAGCTAATTCTTCAGGAGGGGGTATATGTTGTATAATCCTCTGGAACACAGTCTGGCGACATACACACCGTGAGTCTTAAAATGGTTCATATCTCTGATCATAAGATACAAAGATGATCTAAAATAGTTTATACCAGTGTTAGTTATTTGGGTTAAAAATTACAAACAATATAAACATCTAGAAACTAGAAATGATTTAATAAATTATGGTTTAGCCACCAGATGGAATGTTACACTGCCATTAAAAATCATACCTTGAAGGCTATTTAACATTAGGAAATAATGTTAAATAAAGTGAATGAAAATAGGGCCCAAAACTATACATTTCTTATGATCTCTGTATTAAAAAAAATATGTGCATAAAAAAGACCAGGAAGAAAATATATCAGAATGTTAACAGTGCTTATCTTTGGGCTATGGAATTACAGGTGATATTTAATTTCATTTTTATAATTCTCTGAATTAGTCACATTTCCTACAATCAACATATCATTTCTATGCATCAGTGGAAAAGATTGTTTTGCTGGCCTTCATCAATCCCCAAAGAGTACACATAGCCTATGGAAAGAACAATAGGAAACAAAGAAGTGCCCAAACCAAAGCAAATAAAACTGAGGCAGTGCAGCACAAATATTTGCACATATAAGAATCCACCTATTGGCCAAGAGGCAAATCACTCCTCTGCAGACAGACTGAGGCTGCATGTTCTGCACTCATCCACCGACTGCTGCTCCTTTGTAAAAGGGGATCCAGGGTCCACCACCTGCAGTAGCAACTCAAGGGGTCTGCTGCTGAGAACAAATAGGCAGATGTCTAAGAAAGATCTGTCGTCCACAAAATACCACACAGGAGTATGTGGTTACTATCGTTTTCCTTCTTGGAGGCTATAAAGATTGCATAAATACTGGAAGCTTTGAGAACTCTGTAAATGAATGATCGAATCAAGAAGCTGACTTTTAGCTCAGGTCATAAAGCTGACCGGAAACTGATGGTCTAACATGGGGAGAAGCATATGCAAACCCTGGCCTAGATGAAAACATGACAGCAAGAGGCAGGCCATGCTGACTGGCAGGTTCTCACAGACCACCAGCTTCCCATCCAAATGAAGGAGGTAAATCAGCTGGGTGGGGGGTTTGTGGGTGTTTGTTACATTTTTCTTATACCTTTTAAATGAATTTGAGGTTCTCATTACTTTTTTTTCTCAAAATATTAATGGGATACAAATGTTTTTGTTACATGGATACCGTGTATAATGCTTAAGTCAGGGCTTTTGGTGTGTCTGTCACCAGAACAGTATTCATTATACCCAGGTTGTTTTCCCTCACCTCCCTCCTTCTTGGTTTCCAGTGTCCTTTACATCTCTTTGTGCCTGTGTGTACCCATCATTTAGCTCCAACTTATTAGTGAGAACATAAGGTGTTTGGTTTTTCCATTCCGGAGATACTTCACTTAGGATAATGGTCTCCAGTTCCATCCAAGTTGCTGCAAATGACATTATTTAATCCTTTTTATGGTTAAGCAGTACTCCATGGTATATACACGCCACATTTTCTTTTTCCACTCATGAATTGATGGGCACTTAGGTTGGTTCCACGTCTTTGGAATTGTGACTTGTGCTGTAATAAACATTCAAGTGCAGGTGTTTTTTTGATAAAATCACTTCTTTTCCTTTGGTAGATACCCAGCAGTGGGATTGCTGGATCAAATAATGTATCCATATTTATTTCTTTGAGGAATCTCCATACTGTTTTCCATAGAGGTTGTACTAATTTGCAGTCCCGCCAACAGTGTATAAGCCTTCCTTTCTCTCTGCATCCACGTCTCCATCTACTGTTTTTTGACTTTTTAATAATGGCCATTCTGATAGGGGTAAGGTGTTATCTCACTATGGTTTCAATTTGTATTTCCCTCATGATTAGTGATGCTGAGCATTTTTTCATATGTTTCTTGGCCATTTATCTTCTTTTGAAAAACTACTGTTCATGTCTTTTGCCCACTTTTTGATGAGGTTGTTTGTTTTTTTCTTGCTGATTTGTTTGAGTTCTTTGTAGGTTCTGGATATTAGTTCTTTGTTTGATGTTTTCTCCTATTCTGTAGGTTGTCTATTCGCTCTGTTGATTATTTCCTTTGTTGTGCACAAGCTTTTTTTTTTTTTTTTAAAGGTTACAGAATTGCATTTATTTTGTGTGATTCTGTTTATTTTTTTTTTATTTCAGCATATTATGGGGGTACAGATGTTTAGGTTACGTATGTTG